TACAAATAGAGAAATTTAACTATGTGGAATAATAGGAGAAAATGTTCCTTAAATGGAGAAAACTAGAAAGTGAGAAGACCTAATATTTTTTCTGACATGCCAATTTTCTCTTCTGTGATGACTGCTCTTTCCTATCTGGTTCCACTGGCAACATAAGTGCTGGAGCGTGAGTTCACTCACTATCTACTGTATCTGAAAGGGCACTAAGTAGAAGTGCCCAAATTGGCCGGCACTCCTTGATCTGGGAGTTGACAAACCTCTTTGGCCTTGGCTTGACATCTTCTTCCTTTATGGGTTTATAAATAGGTAGTGAAGTTGAACTGTGCAATCACGCTTTCCTCCTCTGATATACAAGTATGTGTAAGATGTCATTTGTATAAAAATCAGAATGTGGAAAAGAAAATAATTGGGAAGAGGAGGAGGAATACACATACACACACACACATATTCTGAATATTATACACTGCTGAAAAAAAGGGAACACTTAAACAACACAATATAACTCCAAGTCAATCACACTTCTGTGAATCAAACTGTCCACTTAGGTAGCAACACTGATTGACAATCAATTTCACATGCTGTTGTGCAAATGGAATAGACAACAGGTGGAAAGCATAGGCAGTTAGCAAGACATCCCCAATAAAGGAGTGGTTCTGCAGGTGGTGACCACAGACCACTTCTCAGTTCCTATGCTTTCTGGCTGATGGTTTGGTCACTTTTGAATGCTGGCGGTGCTTTCACTCTAGTGGTAGCATGTGACAGAGTCTACAACCCACACAAGTGGCTTAGGTAGTGCATTCATCCAGGATGGCACATCAATGTGAGCTGTGGCAAGAAGGTTTGCTGTGTCTGTCAGCGCATAGAGCATGGAGGCGCTACCAGGAGACAGGCCAGTACATCAGGAGATGTGGAGGAGGCCATAGGAGGGCAACAACCCAGCATCAGGATCGCTACCTCCGCCTTTGTGCAAGGAGGGACAGGAGGAGCACTGCCAGAGCCCTGCAAAATGACCTCCAGCGGGCCACAAATGTGCATGTGGCTGCTCAAACGGTCAGAAACAGACTCCATGAGGGTGGTATGAGGGCCCGACGTCCACAGGTGGGGGTTGTGCTTACAGCCCAACACCGTGCAGGACGTTTGGCATTTGCCAGAGAACACCAAGATTGGCAAATTCGCCACTGGCGCCCTGTGCTCTTCACAGATGAAAGCAGGTTCACACTGAGCACATGTGACAGATGTGACAGGTCTGGAGACGCCGTGGAGAACATTCTGCTGCCTGCCACATCCTCCAGCATGATCAGTTTGGCAGTGGATCAGTAATGGTGTGGGGTGGCATTTCTTTAGGGGGCCGCACAGACCCTCCATGTGCTCGCCAGAGGTAGCCTGACTGCCTTTCGGTACTGAGATGAGATCCTTAGACCCTTTGTGAGATCATATGCTGGTGCGGTTGGCCCTGGGTTCCTCCTAATGCAAGACAATGCTAGACCTCATGTGGCTGGAGTGTGTCAGCAGTTCCTGCAAGACGAAGGCATTGATGCTATGGACTGGCCCGCCTGTTCCCCAGACCTGAATCCAATTGAGCACATCTGGGACATCATGTCTCGCTCCATCCACCAATGCCACGTTGCACCACAGACTGTCCAGGAGTTGGGGGATGCTTTAGTCCAGGTGTGGGAGGAGATCCCTCAGGAGACCATCTGCCACCTCATCAGGAGCATGCCCAGGCGTTGTAGGGAGGTCATACAGGCACGTGGAGGCCACACACACTACTGAGCCTCATTTTGACTTGTTTGAAGGACATTACATCAAAGTTGGATCAGCCTGTAGTGTTTTTTTCCACTTTAATTTTGAGTGTAACTCCAAATCCAGACCTCCATGGGTTGCTAAATTTGATTTCCATTGATAATTCTTGTGTGAGTTTGTTGTCAGCACATTCAACTATGTAATGAACAAAGTATTTAATAAGAATATTTCAATCATTCAGATCTAGGATGTCTTATTTTTGTGTTCCCTTTATTTTTTTGAGCAGTGTAAATAGAAATATGGATTATTCTACATTCAGATGCAATGTTCCCCATTTTAGCATCTGCTGTAACGTTGCAAACATATTAGCAGTTACACAGTTACTGATATGTGCACTGTCTCTGCTTGTGTACAGAGCTTTTTCCTCTGTGCCAATCAGGGCAGAGCTAAATTCTCTTATTAGCTTCTTTATAGATCAGTCTAGAAAGCGCCAATGATCCAAGCCAGTCTGCTTTTTTAAAAAAAGTCCACCAGTAGCTATGGTCCCATTTTGGCTGGCCAATAATGAAGGTCTGAACACGACTTACTGTTTTGTTTTCACTTGTTATGAGAATACTTTGTATGTATACATATTACATCTTGGGTGCTTAAGTTGCACATTCTGCAGACAACATACATTAACTTGGAAGGAAGCAACATAATTTTTAAAAAACTATGTATAAAAAGGTTTGTGCGCATAAAAAGGTTTGTGTTACATAGAAGAATGTTTCCAAACCTCAACTCCTTCCCTAAGTTTGTTTCTGTATTTATTTCTGTTTATTCCATCTATGCTAAGAATCACATCACCTCTTGTGTGAGTAGAAAGAACACAGGAGCAAAGTGTTTAAAGGCAATGCACTGTTGAATGATCTCCCTATCATCTGTTTTAATTCTTGATAACTGACTGTAGTTAGTTTTTTACATGTCATGAATTATTACTGGAGTAGAGCAATTCCTTTGAGATGGCATTGGATTACAGAAAAGTCCCATAATCGTCTGCTTGTTTCCTGAAGATAATGCGCTTGATTCAGCTTTCCCAAATAATGCCAATTTAATGCAGAGCAGAGCAGTATAAAGCAAAATTACTAACTCTCCTTTCTAATCCTGATGCCAATCCTTTATTAATCTAATTTACTGAAGTAGACTGCTGCGTATTGGTGTACTATGAAGCATTTCTGCTCAACAGAACAGGACGTTTTCCTAAGGTAACATCACTTATTCTTTCAATTTCTATAGCAGCCCATCTAAACCAGTGACTTCAATCATAGGTTCCTTAAGTTAGGACTTTACATACATGGTATGGATGCTTATCTGTTATTTGCAGTCCTTTGCTTTCATTCAAGTTGGTTTTGTTCAGCATAAAAATGTTGAATGTGCATAAGGCTGACTTGTGTGTGCAGCCACCATAAACCAAAATATGGCTCAGTTCACCCAGCATGCTCTCCCATTGTGTGATATGATTATGGATTACTCTTGGTATAAGCAACCAATTATGGATTATTCAGTAGATTATAATTAAATGATAATTTAGTATAAAATGTGTAGCCATAGGCTTATCATATTTTGCAGATTCCTTATTCCGCAGATGGGTTTGGATAATACCATAACCTTAAGAGTGAGTTGTGAAATATTTTCATTCACGAAAGCTGAATGAAAATCTATTGGCCCTCATTCTTTGGATCCCGATCTTGACACAATAATCTCAAGGAAGGGAAGTATGTAGCAACATAAAATATGTGAACGGAATCCTTATAACTGTGTGATGAAAGAAGATAATCTTTGGGAGAGGAGAAAGAACTTAGTTTGTATTAACTAATAAGCATTAACTAATAAGTTAAATTGTAAGATTTCCAGAGAGCAACGCACTGTATCGTGTGATATGAAACATTCAAATAGCTTGAAAAAATTGCAGGCTGATTTGTAGTACAAGAAATAATTGTCGTTATTGATTGATTTGAGAATAGACTGCCACAAATGAAGGCAAATATACGTGTCCCAGGATAATCTTGCAGGATTTAATCTGGGTCAGTCACTGGGATGAGAGCATTTGTCTTCCAATCCTTTGGACTTCCAATCCTTGGAGCCCATCCTCTGTCTCTTGTATTTTGTACTTTTTTTTACAAGTAATGCAAAAGCAACTGTTACATTGCATGCTGTGCTTTGCTCACACTGAAAAAGAATCTAGCATCCTTTTTCAATCTAGGATCTAGCATCCTTATCCAATGCTCACACTGAAAAAGGATGTAGGTGAGCTTCTGTAAGATCTATAGATGCCAGGCAGTCACCTTCCCGGATACTCCCCAGAATGGACTGGAGGGACTGCATTTTGAATCCCCTGTAGATTATATGTTTGTTTAATCTTTTTAGGTCCAGGATTGCTCTCCACCCCACTGAGGACTTTGGAACTATACGAACAGGATAGAGTAGAACCCCTGTTCCTGTTTGTCCCATGGGACCGTTGAATAGCTTGTATGTCCAGTAGGTGTTGGATTGCTGCCTCCATGAGGCTTCTTTTTGCCCTGTCCCTTGATACTGGGCAACTTCTGAAGTACCTTGGGGGTGTGGAGAGAAATCAGAGGGTGAGGCCTAGTCTCACTACTGTATTCAGGACCCAGGTGTCTTGTGGTGGTTGCTTCCCATCGGTCGGCAAACAGGCCCAACCGTCCGCCGATGGGCTGGTTGGAGTTGTTGTCACTTGGTGCGGCAGAAGGGGCGGTTGGCTGCCCATGCCCCGAAATAGTAGTTTGTTTTGGCCTTTTTGACCATGCTGTGGATTCTCCACCCAGCACACCGGAGAAATATGTAACCTAGCTTTTTGTTTTCTGCTGACATTAAATAGCAACTAAAATGCAAGTCCACCCATTGGAATATTTTATTTGCAAGGCAAATTAAGACTTGATTTCCTTCCAGTGCTTCAATATAATTCCCATATTGGTTACGGCTTATGTATTAAGATTCCAGACTGGGAAATACAGGTTTTTGCTATTTAAGCCTGCAGTCAGAAGAAACACTGAATTCTTGTGTCTATTATCTTCTGAAATTAGTTTAAGTGTAGATCCTTGGTTTAATAATATGTTTAATTCTAACCATCACCAGTGTAACAGATGTTTGCTGTGCACATTATTGAAAGGAACCACTTAAATATCTTACCAAGTGACTTGGCATTGCTAATGCAGGCAAACCTTATTACACTATAAGAAACCACATGCTCAAAGTTGTAAGATGTAAGAGCACTTTATTGTTCATTAAGGCTACTTTTAAGTACAAAAAAAAGATGGCCTGCCAAACCTTTTTTAAAAATTGCCAGGTGAAACAAGGCCACAAAAGAATGATATGTTACAGATTTACAAACATGGAGAACATTGTTCAATCTGGACTGTAGATCCTGTGGCTCTGTGAAAAAAAAACTTCATGTAAGAATGAAGTTAATATTCTTTCTCCTTCTCTTCCCCCTCCCAACCCTTTTGGCTTTTAAACAATAATTCTGTTTTCTGTGGACTATTTTTCTTCTTCCAAATGGTTTTGTGTGTATACTACACATCACACTGAGAAGATAATCCTCAGTGCATTTACTTCAAAGAAAGTTGCACCACAATCAACACAAGTGTATGTCCCAAGTGTTGTATGTTAGGACTGCAGTGATTATTTTACGCCCCATTTACTTATCACAGATAAGTAAATTTAACTTTGTAGTTTTGTGCTTCAAAGAAATGTCAAAAGGGTTCTGTATCCACAAAGTCCATCTGCAGTCATTAGTACTTGTTAGACTGCTCAGTAGCCTGTAGCAACAACACACTAGTGGCTATTAATTGCTAATGCAGTGTTCTTATAGAATAACTGTGTTCCTGCACTTTTACTGTATTACAGACATCTACAACAAAAAAAAGATCAACTTTTTTCTCCAGACAAAAACAAAAGAGAATGATTACAATAAAGGAAAGGGAAAAATTAAATAGCTACATATCATTAACAAATTAATTGTTCCTCAAAAAAATACCTACAAATTTCTCTGTACATTCTTTACGCACAGCGTAATGATGGTCTTAAAGTTACCTATATAAAAAAGTTTTTTTTTCTGCACTTTTCTTACAGGGGTAGGGTACTGAATGCCAAAGACGACTGAGCATTTAACTACCCATTAACACGACCGCAAAATGTGTGAAAGGGGCAATGAAGGGGAAGCTTCTCTTGGCTTTTTCTTGCTTTTAAAAGTAGGCAGCCACACTCTCGTATGGAACAGGACAAAACAGATCCTTTGCTGTTCTTTTTTAACAGTGATTTTTATTTTTACAAAAATATAAATTCTGGCCCCAATGCTATAACATAGCCCAAAGAACATCACGTGCCCTTCAGACTTTTGCCTTATCCTATATGCTTTCAACAGCACCTATCTTTTCAGGTAACCCGCTATTAAATGGACTAGTTGTAACTGCTGGAATGTGTAGGGACTGTGGGTGAGTTGTGGCATTAAAAAAACAACAGCTGAGCCCATTACTACTAAAAGAAATCTGTTCTTTATGCCTGCCTCTATTACCTAGTTAGTGACTATTAATACAGCAAATGAAATAAATGCAAGTATAACACCTTTATAAAAAAAAAGAGGAATGTATGGTGCCTTGGCCTAGGTTTATAAGCAGCCTCAAAAATTAGATTTCTGCAATTAGAGCATACATGGATAAATATATTTCAGTTAAGTAAATTTCAATTGAGCAGGTGATTCTCTACATGAAAATTGTTTCTTTTGTCAGAAATGCCATAGTAGCATCCTGAACCTCATAGTACTCGATATATAAACTGCTTCAGTTGAGGCCTGACCAGAGGCGACTGTCCAAGGTTGCTGGCTGCTACGAAAAGGAATATCAAATACAAGTATCAGAGTACAACTGTACCAGCAGTAAGTTTATCTAGGACTGTTAATGGAAAAGAAAAATACCTAGTTTTCAACGAAGGCTAATATATTTCTTACTGTCTATACATTAATAGATACCAGCTATTTTTCCAAAAAACATGCATCTTTTAAGCACTATTGAACCCTCTTACCTCAGCTCTACTCTAACAAACTGCGGTGTGGAAAAAAATGCCCATGATCTGTTGATTATGCAGTCCAGTTGCAAGCACGAAGCACCTGAAATCTACACCGAGAAGACCTATAACCTGTATGAGACTTCCCCTTCCTAAACAAATGTTGCTTCTTCTTTTCAAGAGGCGGAGAACACCAGACGCTTTTTGCCGAGCAGTTTGCCCTCAGAATAGAAGCATCCTGCCTAAAAAGTTGCTATGCAACCCTAACCTCCTCCAATAGTGCAAATCATACACAACAGTTCTTTTCAAGTATATACATACAACATTACTTCACAAAGGGAGAAGAAAGTAATGGAGACAAAATCCAGACACAATTCTACCCTCAAGAAGCTAATCAAAGCATACAAGCATTTGGGTCAATCCACTGTACAGAATGGCTTTTTACTTCTCCCCCTCCCCCCCGCATTTACTTGCGTCTACGTTTCGTTTTCATAAAGGGGGGGGGGCAGCAGAGTTGCATCAGAGGTCTCTTTGGTAACTGAGGCAGGAACAAAAAGAGTGCTACATTATTTAAAAAAAAAACAATTTAAAAAAATCAAATAGTTCCTGCTATCAATTTTAAGGGCATGTGTATTAAAAAAACAAAACAAAAAAGCCCGAACACACACAAACCATGTATTGAATTGTTATCTCCTTTTATATCACCCCTCCCAAACACTTTTCGTTTCGAGTACTGTTCAAGCTCAGCCAAAACAATACCAACTCATGTTTGGATGAAGAAATTGTGGTCCCGTGTTCATGAGACAACCGAAGGTGAATGATTATGATTGACCAGATGGGAGGAAGGAGGAGAAGAGGACTGGCCCCTCCTGGAAGCAGACTCTGGACTATTGGACACACCATCCTTGGCAGCTTTGATCTGAAGCCAGGTATCTCCAAGAGCTTTGGCAAAGTGGTCATCGACTGATCCTGTGATGGATACAGAGTTTGTCACTGGCTCTGGCTCCTTGTAATTCTTGCCAAGGCTTCTGCGGAAGTGTTCTTCTACCACTGGATCGCAGGCAGCAGTAGCTATAGGAGAAATGCAGAAGACTACTAAGAAACAGACAAACTACTGCTTTTCCATATGACTAAAAAAAAATATTCTAACTCCCCTTGCAGCTGTTCTGCTTTTTAAGTACAACTGCAACAAATATGATTTACTTCTTAACGTATGTACAATATGCATTAATAACATATATCATTATATAATACCATCAATTGCTGTTTTAATGGAAATGCATTGTCCAGATTTTCTATTATTTGTGTGCTCGGGCCCTTTAAATTAGGCAAGAGAAAAGAAAAAGCATGTATATAATTGTCATTTTAGATTACTATGTGAAAGCCAAAAACAGCTATCTCCAACCTGAATAACCTCCACTAGTATAGATTTCAACTCCCACAATTCCCTTGTCAGCAGGGCCATTGCTGACAATCTTGGAGGCATACAAATTGGAGAAGGCTGTGAGAACATGCAGATGAACTCCATTTCTGTAGATTGATCTAATGTTGCCAAAATTATTCCCATAAAAAAATCAGAATATCATGTGAGTTTTAAGAAGGCTCCAAAACAGATCAAAGAGATGTTGATAAAAGTTGTTTAAAATGTGCAATTCTTTCCTTTGTATTTCTTGTTCATTTTATTCTAGCCAAAATAGTAAAAGGCATTTAAATATTGTCTCTTCAGACTATTTTTCTGAAGCCACCTCCACATTATGTTGTCAAATATGCACAAAGTCAAGGGAGGGATTTGATTCAAATCTAAATTAGCTGCATTTAGATCCTACTGAAATTAGTGTGAAAAGTTGTTCACAAAATTAAGTTTGCCATTGCTAAAAAGGGCTGGTTGTTCTACCTCCTCGTGTGCATTTGGCTGGCCACTGGCTGTTACTAAAGGCTAGACTAGATTGGCCCTTGGCATAACCCCAGAGTGGGCTTTTCTTTTGGAAACTGGATTCCAGTTTCTAACTTTATTTCATAAAATATCCAATTTTATATTATATAAACCTTTCAGCTCTTTATTATTATATATAACTGCTTATATTCAGTATTATTGAATTTAACAAAGATAAGCAGTCTTTAAAAACACACAATATCAAATGAGTAAAAATCCAAATATATGGATTTATACTTTATTGATTTTATTTATATTTTTTGGATTTATAACATGTACAAAGATTATAAATAATCTTCCATTGGACAATCCAGATTTTCTTATATCAATAAATCTTAAAACTTCTGAAGAGTTTAACACTTCTTCTAATAAAAATAGGAAGATCTTAGCGGGAGTCCTCCTTTTGTACATACAGGAAATCCTCGAGTTGCAACCATTTGTTTAGTGCCTGTTCAAAGTTACAAGGACAAAGAAAAAAGTGACTTATGACTATCCTCATGGTCATGTGATCAAAATTCGGATCATATTTATGGCAGTTTCAGTGTTCTGGGGTCACATGGCAAAGCCAATGGGGAAGCCAAATTCACTTAACAACCATGTTAGTAACTTAACAACTGCAGTGATTCACTTAACAGTTGTGGCTAGAAAGTTCATAAAATGGGGCAAAACCTGCTTAATAACTCATTTAGCAATAGAAATTTTGGGCCCAATTGTGTTCGTAAGTCGAGGACTATCTGTAATTACATATTTAATTCGACTGCAGTGTACTACTTTCACCCTGCTTAAAAATATTTCTATTTCTGTAATTCATTACATATATTAATAGTTATTTGATGACCACATATAATGGATCTTTGGAAGGAAAATTAGGGAAATGAGAGTTACTTACTGCTAGACGGCCTTCGGTAACTGGTTGGCATAGCAGCCCCACATCCACTGTGCACAACTGGACAATGAGAAAGATTACAGTTTCGATTGCTTGCAGAGGCACAGGTGATTACAGACGGGCGGTTCTGAGGATAAAAGGACATAGAAATCATAGACAGTTCCTCAAAGAGTTGCTTAACATAGCAGTTACAATTTGTCGCCTGAGATATTCCCTCACAAGACTGCCTCAAATAAATGTAGGCACCAATTCCCATCTTAATAGGGAACAGTGAAGGTCACTTGAAATAATCTAAGTATAGGAACTAAGAGAAACTTAGGTGGTTTGGAAGAAGCTCTTGGCTCTTCCAGTCATTAAAATGCTAGCAGAAAAAAAGTACTTGTATCAATCTAGCAATCTGTTTGGTTAATATTCAGATGTAACTGCTTTATTGGATTATATCATTTATTTTAGCTATGCATTACTATTTTTTAAAAAATGATAATGATTTCTTAACATATATTCCAGGCATCATGTAATCCATTATATATTATTAAAACTTAAAAACATAGTAATACACCAAATTACATACCACAAAATAATAAACCAGTCAATACTTAAATAGTTAATAACCAAAAGATCTTCAGTGTAATATCCAATATTACATCCAGGGAGGAAATTATATTTAAGTACTACTAAATGATTTTTAAAATATGGCCACAAATACAATAATCATTGTCCAGTAAAAACAGTTCTTGTGATACTGTTCAATGACAGATCTGATTGCCACTCCAAGAAACAATAGTAGGAATTATCAAGCTGTCCCAAAGTCATAAGTGGAAGCCTCTCCCTTCCTCCCTTCCTTGCCTATCATCAATAAACCAATGATGCTGAGGTAATACACTATGCAGAACAATAGCAGATGGAAGGGAACACTGGATTATACTACTTCACACACCAAATGGTAATATAACAGACAAAAAAATGTTCAGGTCATATCCCTGTGAATAAAGTTGCAGGGAAAGTACAAAATACCAAATGCTGCTTAGTAACAATTATAAGACCAAAAGAACACTGATTTAGCTGAGTGAGAAGCTTCTTGAATTCAAGGGAAGAAATATAATTTTGAATTTAATGATAGTTTCTAAGTGGGGAATGGTAACGCTATGATTTTTTTTCCTAAGTCACAAAGGAGCATGTGAGACATGAATTAGAAAGTCCCAACTGTCAGTTGTAACTTCTTAACTTAGTAGTAGTAGTTTTTTTTTTTTTTTAATCCACCTGGAAAAAAACAGTGAAAAAATAAAAGGGCAAATCGGGCAAATTAGGTGGAAAGATAAATCTACAGAAATGTTCTTAAAAAGGAGAAAAAGTGACATTAATCCACCTATGCTGATTTTTGTCCTTTAAACTAGTACCTTTTCTCTCATCTTTGGTCTGGTGGTAAAAAAAAATGGAGATGATTCTAAGGCTTAAGTTATGAGTCCATTTAAAAATCCTTCAAAGTTACATTTAGTAGCAGCCTTACTAGGAATTTGGGGAATTGCTGATTGGCTCAAACTTTCGTTCAAATACGATGGTCCGGAAGTTCTGAAGTTGACTGCAATTTGAGGAAGGGAGGAAGAGAGAGAGGGGACTTTGGTCTTGGATGACATTCCTTCTTTTCCATGAATCAAGAAATCAATGGACTTCCATCACCTTGTAATGAACTCAAGGTAATATTTTAAAAGAAAAAAAAAAGCATCTTTTCCCATCTGTCTGATCCAGAAATTTTAATTATGGATTGCTCTTAACTCAAAGGTACTTTTTTCTTCAAAAGGTAACTGTTTTTTTTTTCCTTGAGGAAGAAGAAGAAAACGTTTCACTTCTCATCCAAGCTTCATCAGTTCTGATGGCAGAGGAGTGGGGAAATGGAAGGATAGGTACTGACAATTGAGATTGGATGGTGGGGAAATGGAAGCAGAGGCGGTATTCAGCAGGTTCTGACCAGTTCCGGAGAACCAGTAGCGGAAATTTTGAGTAGTTGGAGAACCAGCAAATCCAACCTCTGACTGGAGATTTTACAGTCTCCTTCCCCTGCCACGCCCACCAAGCCACACCCACAGAACCGGTAGTAAAGTAATTTTGAATTCCACCACTGGATGGAAGAATAGGATCTGATAGGATGGGGCGGATGGAAAGATTGTATTTCTTTGCAGTCATCTGGCTGTTAGCACTTTCTGACAGCTGTTGAGGATATTTTGGGGGTTTATCTGCGCTCTCAGGATAATCTGAATGAGAGTACAACTGGTTGTGGAATCTTCTTGGAACTGCTGCAGGTATTGCATTGTAAACTGGAGATAGTAGGTGTTTCATTCACCCACCCCACCCCGCGAACACCCGTTGAGGAAAGGGTGTTCAATTCTAACATAGATGGATTCTTTTACCCTGTTTTCAAACCAACAGTCCTCTATACAACTATGACCTGGATGACTGAGAATCTCCAGACTTCTCTTCATTAACAACTGATGGATCAGGAAACCTATTTCTGTATGTATCACTTCAGTCCTCATTAAATATGGCTGCTGCAAAACACTTCAATTACTTAAAAAGGCATGTTAAAAAAAAAAAAACCTTGGCTACAATCCTTCCTTCCCAACTTCAAATCTTCTACAAATATTTTATATAGAATTTGTTTCGACCATTTGATCAAATTTTTGAAAAGTGAGTTAACAATAAAATATTAATCAATACTTCACAACTGTTAAACATTGATTTCTTTTTTGAAGAGTGCTTTTTTGAAGGATATTTTGAAACTGGTAGAGCTTCTTTGCTTCCTTGTGAATTTAGACAGCTGAGAAAAGGACCTTTTCCAATGTATAGAAATATCTAGTATCCCTAAATAGTGCTTGTTTTAATAGATCGCTCAAATAAATAAATATTTATTTATGTAAGTTTCAAACAACCAGATTTGCAAAATTCCATTCTGTTTCCAGGGTTTGCAAGATTATTAACTGGAAGGAATTAGGAAAATTATGTAGACAATGACTCCGCAAAAACCAACCAACCACAAACAACCCACACAAAAAACACAAAGAAATATAAAAATTGTAAAAAAGCTAAATGAAAAATAGTTGCCTAGCTTAAGAAACAAAAATGCCAAGTACCTGCTGCCGTTCCACTGATGTCATTGTAGGAGTCATGCTTACAGACCGAATAACATCCATGCTGTTTTTGGTCAGTGCTAGAGGTTGATCCATAGTTAAGCTTGGGATTGAGGCGTATATATGATTAGCATGAAGGCCCATTGTTGGTGCAACAGCCCGCTCAATGGGACTACGACTCCTTTCTCTATGTTCTTTTCGGTAATCCCCATTTGCAGTCTTCATTCTAAGGGAAAAACAAACCAACACACCAATACTTTAGTGTTTTGCATTTAATTCAAGGAATGCACTCCAAAGACAAGTTTATAGCTAATCTTCAATTTAACATCACTGACTTTAGAGACCATCTGGAGTTAACCCTCTCCCCCCAAAAGCTATTGATGACTTAGTTTCAAAGTTATGGCCTCTACAATGCTCCCATGATCCACTTGAACATCAGGGATGCTGCAGCATGCCCCCCCCCCCCCCAATCTAGCTTCCCTCCACCATTCCACCCATTATGCCCTGGCAAGCTTTGGGACCTGCTTTCCCTCAGGTCTTGCAGTCTTGCCTCCATAGCAAATGGCACACAGATGACAAGTGTTTTAGGGAACAATTTTTCCTATATTCTTAATCTAACATTTTATCACAGCACATATGTTATGCCTCCCTACTACAAACAGACATCATTTCTTTATACCCATTAACTGATAATGATCAACAGATTAATTTTAAACTTCATCTTTGATCCAAGCTATATTTTGTTACAAAGTTAGAAACAGACACTTTCTCTCGATACGATTTAGATGAGGGGACAGAATGGGAGTTCATAAAATTTGCAGATGACACCATTTTAAAAGAAAGGCTCAAGATCCAGAAAGATTTTGACAAACTTGAAGACTGGCCCCGTCCAACAAAATGCAATTCAGGGGTGAGTTTTAAACTTAGGCAACAAAAATCAAATGCACAGCTATAGAATAGGTGGCACGTGGCTCCACAGCAATAGCTATGGGAGAGATCTAGGAGTCTTAGAGGACAGCCAATTAAATATAAGCTAGCAATATGCTGCAGCTGCCAAAAAAACCAATGCAGTCCTGCTTGTTATCAATAGAGGGACAGCATCACAGTCATGTAAAGTGTTAGTACATATTTGGAAGACTGCAGCTAGTATTAAACCAGTTATGGCATAGAGATGTTGCTAACTGAATAAAATTCAAGTACTTTCAATGAGAAGAGATGCTGTACTTATTTCTTCAGATATATTCATTTAGCAGTTCTGCTTATCCTCAGTGAAATATAACTTTTTCAGAGGCATTAATTATACATTGCATTGAAATAAAAATAAAAGCTTTGTTTACAAATTGTTAATGCATTTAACATATCTTGGAAATACAGACAATGCTTTAGAAAAGACATGAGTCATGTAAAAACAAACTTTCTAATTTGCTGACTTCAACAAACTAATAGAGGTCAACATTTAATGTGTTGTGTGTGTATGTCTGTGGTACCATCAATTATAATTCTGCCTTCTGTTTTGTAAAATGTGTAAAAAATATTGTGGTCTTCCATGTACTGAAAAAGTCTTCCCTCTCTATTCCAAAATTGAAGTTTTTAGAGACATCTAAATGCAAGAAATAAATTTAAGGGATTTATGATGAGTCACAAGGGATAACTAGTGAACTGCACTGTACTTAAATAAGTTGTGTCTATAACATCTATACATTTGCTGTCTCTCCAGGTGTACAGTACTCAACAAATTGAAGTTAAGACTTATAGATGTGTGTTACAAGATTTGATCCATTTTATTAGCCAGCCCAGTTTTATTTGGGTTGACTCATGAACCATTTGATTTGATTCTGGCAATGAATCCAAATCTTAGTTTCAGATAGACAAGTCCAATGCCTTCCTCTATCACTGAAAACCAAAAATGGCTGTAACATTTTTTTTTCCTGAGTGACCTGGTTGTTTGACATTTTAGGAGCCTAAGGAGATGAAAGTTGCATTGGCTTTGTGCCAGACATAACTAAACATTACAACACAGAAGCAGCCTTATATGGAATAAATAATCTAGAAGAAACAGTTAAGTATTTGTAAAAATTGAACCATAAAAATGATTTTGAATCTGACTTTGCCTCCATTTTTCACCTATGTGAGTTTTTTGTGACATGTGAGGAGAGGAGGTACTTCATTTGAAAGGTGCATACCTCACAAAGCTAGCCCATGAACAGACTGAATATTGCAAAGTTAGATGAATGAACACAAATTTAACATATCCTTCTGTTATCACGTATACACCCACATTCATAATACGGAGTGGCAGAGGCAGAAGCAAACATCCATTGCTGTAACTTCTCAGATAAAGTAAATTCTGCTCTTGGGACAAAACTAATGTAACAGTGGGACCATGGAAACTATGCAGCCATATTAGTCATCTTCTTCTCAAACATTAGGATTTGACAGTCCTGCTAAAACTCTTATTCTGGCTGAAGCTATTATTGTCAAACCCAAAACTAAACTCTTTCCTACTCTTTGTATATCCCTCTCTAATTTGTCGTCGTCCCCCAATATCCCATATACAAATATTTTCTCTATATGGAGAGGTTAAGGGTATGTATGTATGTATGTATGTATGTATGTATGTATGTATGTATGTA